CCTTTGCCTCAGAGTGCTAGCCAGGGGCTGGGGTCTGGCAACACTCCTGCCCCTTGAGCAATGAGCAGGGAAAAGCCTGGGACATTTCCTATTTTTTTCCTGCATTCTCACAAGTTATTATTCATGCAGCAGGCTTCCATAGGTTTTTTTGATCTAGAGCAAGAAAGGCTAAGGAAATTTTTTCCATTAAAAACCATCTTTCCTTATGCTGTAGTTTATGTGCAGTAGTTACATCCTGTAGCTCCTCCGCACTGATTATAAGAAAGCAAGAGGAATAATGGTCTTTAGTAAAATGATAGATACTTCATATGGGATGGGTATCTTGTGTGAATTCTTGTCTCACAGAGGAATAAAAAGGTATTGGCTCATAGAAGAGTTAGCTTGGTATAAAACGTCTAGACCTCACTTCTCCAGATGAACTACCTGTTTCCCATATCATATTCAAGACATGACAGTGTGCTTTCCTATAAAGGCTGCACCCTGGACATGCATGAACACCTGTGCCAGGAGGCAGCATCCTTTACTTCACTGGTGCTCTGCAAGGGCTCGCCCACATCAGGTTCTTTGCAGGGTCAAGACCTATTTTTCTGAACAGCCTTTAACATTCCGGATTACCAGAGATGGCACAAGTTACTCAATAAATCGAAAATACCACAATATACTGTTTGATCCCTATGTATTTAGTGAAATGCAGTTGTAAAAATATCACAAGTACAAGGCAAACTGTTAACATGAGAAATGTTTTGTATTGCTACTACAACATTTGCTTAGCTGCTCAGGATATCCAGCTGTCAATAAACAACTTCTCCCTCGCCGCTAAAAGGTATTCTGTGTTTCTGAATGCCTAGAACCAATACTAGATTTTGCTGCTTCCTTTCCAGGAGACTGGTTCCTGCAACCAAGTCATCCAATTTGTGTTATAGCCCTCACGAACATTCATTTGGAAGAGCAACACTTTCTCATTCTTTTCAATAAACATCCTGTGCATGTTTCTTCTCCTGTGGCTTTGCACTAAATAAAGAGAAAGTCTTGAAAGATTTGCTGAGTATTCCCTTATATAATCTCAGTGGGAAGCCTAGACACAGGAAACAATTCTCATACAAATAGCCAAGGGTATCCATATTCTCCAGTGCCAAGCAACCACATTCAAAGAGAATGGCCAGGCCTAACCCAGACTTAAGAGTGTCATGAAATTCTTTGCAAATAACCTAAAAATATTAGCTTTGGTTGTGGATCACTTCTTGCTAAATCCCATATTGCTCTCCATCCTTACTGATTTTCTTTTTCCCTTTCACGCCATATCACAAGACGGAGCATAAACATAACTCATCTGTATTTCTTCAGAAAGCCATGACGGTCATAGACTGCCACACAATTTCAGTTTCCTAAAACACTGATTATCTTCTGTACATATAGTAGTAGTATTTATCTAAAACCATAAATGCTTGCACTTTGCTTAGAGAATCTGTTTTTATAAGCAAGAAAATATTTAAAATTGCACATATTTCTTTCTTTTAAAACTCTTTAAGTATTTCCAAAGTAGGTTCTCTATAAAATATGTTGAAAAAGAAATTACAGAAGGCATAGTATAAAGGGCTTTATTGGGAGTTGCATGCAAGTATTTTTCCTAGCTCACTTGTGACTTCCCAACTGGTAATTAATACAGTCATTCTAGGTTCTTGCCAATAAAATCTTTATACCACACTACCATGCATTATCTATATGTCCCTAATCATATTTTATTCGTGTATGTCACCGAGAAAATATAAACTATATTTGAGATGTATGTGGCAACACTTTAATAGCATTTACCCTTGGAAATATGAGTTCTAATATAGACTTATGAGTTGAAGTATCAATGTATTTTTGAGTTGACATTTGTCTACCAAAAATTCAGGTAAGAATCAAGGTGCTTTATATAGGGGAGTTCAGGAGAAACTTGCTGAGTTCCTATCTACACTATCCCTTCTTTTAACCTCCCAAGCCCCCACAACCCAAACCCTTTCCACTTAAAGTGCAGAGGTCCAGGGTACTGCATGAACTGAATATTTTTAATCTAAAGAAATCCACTGGGCTAAATTCTGGTTTTTTCATACTCTAGTAATCCCACTTGGTGCAGTAGAGTTGCTTGGTTATAGCAGTCCCCTATATTTAGATTTCTAGAAAACATGGATTACTACCTCATAATGATGTATTCTTTGTGCATGTCTACATGAGATGCTTTACTCAAGATTAGAGCAAATTACTGTGCAGTAAGCATTGCCAACTACACTTGCAGATGCTTACTGTGCAGTAATTTGCTCTAATTGCAAGTAAATGTGCTACTTGTAAATACAAGCAGCAGATTTACTCAGGAGTAATTACTGTGCAGTATGGCAAATGTAGATGGCCAACTGGAAGAAAATGTGCTCCCAATCAGCCAGACAACAGGGAGCAGGAGATTGCTCCCTGCCCCCAGGAGCTTCCTGCTGCCAGGGCAGGGTCTGCCACTGGATCCTGGGTGGGGACAATGTTCCCCTGCCCCAGCAGCAGGGCACTCCCAGCCCCTGTTCTGCAATCACAGAGCAGGAGTTGGGAGCTTCCTGCTACCAGGGCAGGAGGATATTGTCACCACCCGTGCTTCTGGCAGATGCCAGGCTCCTGGCAGGCAGCTCCCAGGGGCTGGGAGCAATCTCTCATCCCCAGCCTAGAGCTCCTCCTGGCTGCTGCAGGGGGCTGGTGTGGGGCTTTTGGGGCAGGAGTAGACTGCTGCCACAAGCAGCAAATCTGTTCCTGCTTCCCTACATGTGTAGACACCTGCCCAATGTGGGTTACTCTAGAGTAAATGCTAGTGTAAACACCTTGCATGTAGCTGGCAGAGCTCTTGAGCAATTCCCTACAGACAGAGCTGGCTACAGCAGCAAAAGCTCCAGGTACTAACAGAAGAAAACACTGTTCTGTAGGACACAGAGCACTGACCAACTACTATTAATTTTTCAGTTTCAGATTAAAACTCTTTAGTGCATTTCCAATTTTTTTCAAATGACCTAAGAAGCTCCGAATACAACTCTGGATAGTGCTTATCAACCTGTCATGTATGGTAGTGTTTGTTAACTTGCAATAAGAAAATGTTTATCTTCTTTCTACATTTGAAGAAAACAACAGAAATGAACGTTCCTGTGAAAAGCAGCTGGCAAATGGCCTGCATGCTAAAGGGACTCTGGTTTACTGTTTTATTTTTTACTTCTATGGTTTTCTCTCCAGGATTCAGTCAACAGTAATGATTCTTTTTTTTATTACTTCTAATGCTAAAGATGTGTATTCAATAGCTACTGCCTAGAGTACAAACAGTGCTCTAGCACAAAGAAAAGGACCGCAGTACTCAAAGTATTATTTGTTACTTATTATCCATATTATTGTAGCACTTAGATACTGTAGTAATTGACTAGAACTCCATAGTACAATGAACTGTAGAAATACAAAACAAAAAGAAAATCCTTATCCCAGAGTAATGGTCCAAAACTCTTGTCTTACATTAGGAACACAACCACATTTTAGTCTGTTACGAAAGAATACAATAGTATTTTCTTTTTCAGTGACATGTGGGTAGAACAAGGAAGTTTGTATTCCTGTTTGGTGTCCTACGATTAAGTGGCAAACTTCTGATGTTCCAACTGTTGGGTCATATGCAGTACATTAATTCAAAATATAATAAAAAACTCTAAGCAGATGCCTAATTTGTTTTAGAGTCTAATCAGATGTTACCTTGAGGAACAGTACTGAGCATGTCACAGTAGTCTGCCTTCTTTCATAATTATGTTTATTATTTAATATTTATTGTTATAATTTTCTATTATTTTTATGTGTGTTGTCAGTTTTTAGACGGTAACGCTTCAGATTTGTTGTATACATGCTAGTTTGTTTCCTTTTTAAAAAGTCAGAGAAAAAAAATCCTTTTAAGACCATTAGTATTATGTTAAAAAAATACCAAATCAATTGATTGTAGCAAAGCAAGAACAGACTAAGCTTGATTCTCTGCTGTTTTGCCTAGTCCCTCAGTATAAGTGGTTGTCTTCTTATCTCCAAACACTTTATGGTATCTTACTCCAAGACCTAATCTCATAGTTTTTAATCAGAAAATTCCTAGTGGTTGCAATGGAATTTTTTTCCTGGATATGAAGTACAGAATTAGAGCTACGTTCACAGTAGTGCTGTGTAATGGGCAAATGTCATGAAGTATCAGGCTTCAGGTTGAACCTGCCCATTTTTTGTTATACTTGCTTCTCTTCTCCAATCCTTGCATCCTGTCCACATAATGTATTGTCTTCTGCCTAACCTTGGGTCCCTGTACATGTGGTCTGGTGTGGGGGGATGCATTTTAATTCGAGTGGTTCCTGGAAAGCACCTCAGTGTCATGTGTATTAAGACCCTCTGCATTTAAAAATGGCCATGAAATGCTTTAACTAAAGTTCATTCGATGAGCATTAGTTGAAGCACCCCAGCAAGCATTTTTGCATGTGATCCTGTGGCAGTGCTAGCGCACTCTAATTAGAATTTGAAAAAGACTCAATTAATTGAGTGTGCTCCGACATGTTCTAATTAGAACACATCAGAGCACGTGTATAGGTATGCCTAGCTGTGTTATGTCTCAGAGTACTGTGCTGTGGAAACAAGCCGAGAGCTTGGAAGCTGTATAACCATTTTTGCAGTCATCCACTTAGATTAATTAGCACAATTAATAATGTACAATGCAGTGCTGTGTAGATATATACTAGTGTACAGATATTAGAATGTGTTCTGCTCTCATACAAAGTCAGTATCAAGCTCAATTTAGCACTTCAATTGGAGCAGTATTTGGTAGTTTTTTATGGTTCTTGGGGCAAGGTTCTATAATAGTTACATGTTTGTAAAACGCCATCCACATTATACCAACGTAAATTTCTTGTTTATGTAGCATAATCTTGATGCTAAAAGCATATCTATGTATTATGCTTTTCTTCCACTTCATGTAGTTCTTAGACAGATTGCTTCTTCCCAGTCAGAACCCTGCTGAAGTCAAGAGTCTTTTTGTGCATTGCAATGCAGGATCAAGGCACTAGTCTGAAATACATAAGATATATTTTGAAGATTGGAAGACAATACTGCTCTTAGCATCTGTCTAGTTAGCTTGATTAACACTGGCATGCTGCTCTCAGCTACTTATGGGTCCTTGTGCGTAATGAATTACTATCAACAGCAAGAATTGGGGCTCTGTCTACTGGCAAACATTCCCCTTACATGGTGGGCAGAACTTCAAGGATCATAAAATGATCAAGATTTGGATTTCAATAAATCTGTTATGTTACTTGGGGCCCTTAGTAAAGTCACATTCCTATACCCAGTACAAAAGAAAAAAGGCACTGAAGCAATATTTTGCAGCATTTTTGTAAGCATATAAAATAGAACACTGACACTGTGGTTTGCTAAACTGCACTTCAATAATTTTAATTTTAGAAGAAAACTCTAATTAAGATGGAAGAACTAGAGGGGCAATTGAAGAAAATAACCTGAAACAGAATTGCCTGCACTCATTTTGCAAAACTTTATTGTTATCATATATATACCCAACAAAAGTCATAAATATTTTCAGCATGAATTGACAGGAATAGATGGAATGAGGAGCCCTGCACTGTTTTAAAATGGACAGCTAAATAGCTCCGTATTTTTTTAGCAACATGATGTGTCAGGGAGAACTGGAAAAGACAACCACTAGTCTTCCCCTTAAAATCATAATAAAATGGCATCACTTATGTCTATCTAAAATAGAAATTAGTAGCTAGTACCATTCAGGTAATATTACTTACTTTCCAGATTTTTATGCCATCTAAGGCAATACTTAGACTACTTGGGGGAATAATGTATTACGATAAGGTAATAACCTTAGACAGATATGTAAATATTTTTAAATATAATTCTTAAAATTCTGTAGGACACCTATGCCTACTTTCTGCCAATAGTCACATGAATTATTTGTAATACATCTTTTTAAACAACATACTATCAAAATTTATTATGCAGTCTTATAGGCTTGCACACTCAAAGCACAAATTCCAGTCACGTTTTCAGTCACTGATAAAGGGATTGTTACTGTATGTTCTTTATAGGAATGGAAAATTAATTATTATTTCCTCTTAAAATCAGCACCACCATGTACAAGTAATAACGTTAAAATCCAATTAAATACATGTTCTATAACATTCATTGCAGTTGCAATAAATTAAAATAAAACAGTTCTCCATCTCACTTATTTACTGCCAAACCAGTTAGGAGACTTCATAGATGATCAACACCTGCAATGCATCCAGAAGCAAATTGCGTGGGAGGAAGGGGAGGCGGAAGCCTAGATGGCAAGTATGAAGTGGTCACTTCAGCCTGTTGATCTAGTCAAGAGCTGAAAAAGAGATGGTTAATTGTGGCCAGGTCAAAGTTAATCAAACTGATAAAACAATTTCTCTTAATGAGTTAAATGAAATTAAAATCATAACATGGCATCTTCCTATTGCCTAACATACAGTGGGGAGTAGTGATATTTGAAAATGTGTTGGCAAAACCAAGCTCATTTATAGCAATAGGTAGAGGTCATATTGTACCTAAATTGGAATAGACATAAAACATGGTCCATAATTTATTCTTCGTTATTAAAAAGAGAGGAAGGTGGATTTATGTTTATGGGGGCTGTGCCTAAACTACATGTGAATGAAAGGAGTAGAACTCAAAAGAAGTACAGCAAAAGAAGTAGCGCCATCTGTTACTGAGCAGATGGTAAAATTTTCCCTCTTGCCCAACCCAAACTTGGGTGTTATCAGGAGGCATGGCTATCAGGACATTGCAGCCGTGGCTCAGTCTTCTTTTTTTGGCAGTCATGCATTCAAGATCTTGAAAGAGAGACACTTGTTTTTTTGGACTTCTTAGAATTTTCTGTTTATTTACTACACAACCTGCCAAAGTTAATAAAGGATCAGAGCAGGTCCAGGAAGGTGTGATGGGTTAGGGCAGATGGTGATTTGCCCTGTGCTGACCTGACTGACAAACCAGATGAAATTCTCCCTGAAATTACCTTGTGAGGGCAAGTAACTGCTCCACTTGTTTAGTACAAATTAAAGGGTTTTGCACTATCCTGTGATTGGTCAGACTCGATTAATCCTTTAGTGGCCCTAGCCAAACTCATGGGCCCCTACTTTTTTCACTCAATAATTATAACATGTAAAATAAGCACAACTGGGCCCTTTCTTCACGTAGGGTCTTAGGCATGTGCCTAGTCTGCCTATGCATTATCTGGCCCTGGTGACCAGGACAGGGCAAACAGTGTCCGGACCTCGAGTCTAAACTCCTCAGCGTCATGCATTCCAGTTCTAGCATGTGGAACTGAACCTAACACTGTTGTTTTTGGGGTGTCTGCTCTAGAAAAAGAAGGGGATCTATTTTGTTATTTGAGTCTAATTTAACAAAAATCTTACAAAAACAAAACCATTTTGGCACAATTTTGAAGATATTTCTTCAAGAGCAGCTGCTTTTATAAGAGTTCTTAAGAGTTTGGGGCCTGTAAATCTCAACCTAATTCTACCACAGATGCAACCTCTGACACAAGTCACTGTCTGAAGCTACCCTGGACACAAACCGTTGCCTCTTCTGCCAGCTCAAGTGTATAAACTATTTAGATATCAATATGGTGCTCATCATTGCGGTATCTGAATGCCTGAGACAACAATTAACAGCAAAACTGTAGCTTTCTGTTTTCAAAAAATATGTAATATACAGTTTGTCCTTGGAAAGATACAAAAAGGAAATCGCTGCCTATCATTTTAAGAGGCTTGTCTACAAAACTAACAAAATACAAGCCATTAATGAATCACTGGGTGCATCTACATGAGATGCTATGGTGCAGTAGCGTTGCCAGGCACTAATTGTGCAGCAATGCTACTGTGCAGTAGTAATGAGCTACTGAGCAGTAGCTTGTTGCTACTGCACAGTAGTGTTGGGGAAAAAGTGTGGCGATGGTACTGTGCAGTAACACAAGTTACTGCACAGCCATTTTAGTACTTGCACCAACTCATTTAGTCACTTTAGTACTGCACAGTCATTTAGTACTAAATGACTGAGCAGTAAGAACTGCATAGTCCACCGCATATGTAGATGTGGTCACTGTGGAGAATTCTGAGGAGCCATTAAAATGTCTGTTAATATTATATCTGTTGCAGTCCAACTAATGGATAAGGTCACCTATTACAAATATTTCAGTATAAATAATTCCTCAGCACAATAAATAAAGCAATAATCCAAAATAACTTGTTCATTGAATTCATCTCATGGAATGATCTTAAGTTTTAGTTTAAGCATGAAGTGCAGATAATGTAGATCTTTAGTATGAATGACCCCATGTTGGTAAATGTTTGATTCTGAAATGCACATACTTTTCCTTTAAATTATCTTTGTTATTTTATAGCAATTCCATATATTTCCTTAACTGTGTATATACATGCTGCACATTGGTAGAGCTTCATCCATCCATAATTAAGGTAGTGTCAGCACTGCTATTCAAAAACTCTGTTTGCAGTTGTATATAGCATGACAGCAAAAATCCACTTCAGCAAAAATCTTGGCAGTGAACATGTAAGGTTGGGGATGTGTTTATACATGTTTCAAATTTAAACAAAACAAAGTAAAACCTATTTAGACATATTTAATGTTTCACAGTTTGGTCTGATTGATGAGTGTGGGAGTGACCCTTTATTAATGGAGTATTACTTTATTTAATGAAATAGAAGAAGACTCTGATTATAAGATGACCCCCCCAGTAATTAGATTCTATTTATGGAAAATTTATAAATTTGTTACAGTTTTCCAGGTAAAGAACCTAATTATTGGTTTGCCTTGTATTTGTCTCCCTCTCCCTGCTGCAGCAGGGAAAATAAATCTGGGAGATCAGCTCTTTCCTCTACTTCCCTCTAACTTTTTCCCCTGGCAGCCCCTTCCCTGTCGCTTTACTGTCAGACCCTGCTCTCCCTGAGCACATGGAAGTGAGGAGCAAATTTGAAAACAACAAACTTGAAATTAAACATGGTTGTAGCAATTTGCATACAGTAGCCATAGGCTTAGTTCATCCAGAATTAGTGCATACTACCTTTTCTTGAAACTGCTTTAACTTTTAGCACATGTTTCATAAACACAATTTTGAGCAGCGCTTTGGTACTTACATCTATCTAGCATAAACTTTTTTTTAACCTGGCAAGGGAGATCCCATGATCAACAAGGACTTGGTAGAGAAGATCTCATGATTCTCTCAGCCAATCAAGTTTAGTTATAGGGTGAGTTCTGCCCCTTGCACTCCAGGCAGACTGACTACTGTAAAATTCCCCAAATGCAGGAAATTTGACTGCACAGGATTGTGGTAATGGGGGGCTGAGTTCTTGCTTTTCCCATGGCTTGCTCCTTGGTCTTTTGGTTAGGAGCAACCAGGACTAACGGGCATCCAAACCCCAAGGTCTCTGGGCTTGGGTCTTGCACACAGGATGCCTGCCATAAATTTGGGGAGTATCTGAAGCCCCAGACCAATGGGTATCAGAGGAAGGATACTTCCAGTGCTCCGTCAAAATTTGGAACTTAATTCAGGACTGATTTGGCCCTTGAAACAAAATCTTATATAAGTATAAAGTATGTATGGTATTAGTCCAAAGCCAAAAGGCTCATGATTTACCATACGGTTCACTGGACTGGGCCTCACTAGACTCAATAACACTCCAAGCTATGGTGAGCTACAACACTTCATACAGTTCACCCAGAATCCCTGCTGCACCCTCTCACAGCCTGGTACAAATTATTAGTGTGCCCCCACCCTCCATGGTGACCCCAGAGGTCAGCGCTGCTCAGTATGTGTATATACGCCAGATGTCCCCCACAAAGGATCCATGTACTAATTAGCCCCCAATCATGACTGGAACTGGGTGTTCTTGTTGCAAGTCCTGCAATGCTCCAAAAGTTTATGTGCAGATGAGGAGCAGGGCAACCTACTCTGGCTTTACCTTGTGGAGGGTGGGGCCACACTAATCACATGTGCCAGTCTGAGAGAGGGTGCACAAAAGGATTCTGGATATGCAATGTTGTAGCTCACCATGACTTGAAAAGAATCAGTGGTGAGGAGGACTACACTTAATGGGCACTACCATGCAGCTTATGAAGACAGATTGCGCTAACCTATACTTGTGGTATGGTCCCATTAGAATTGAAGGCCTTGATCAATGTCGTAAAGGAAGAGAAAAGGATTGACAGAGTATAGGGGTGTAAGGAGTGGAGGATGGGAGACCCAAAGCTCAAAACAATGGCAGAGACAGCAAGTAAGCATAAGGTGAAAAAATAGTTGAAGAGCAGAACTGAAGGTCTGGAGACAGAGAGTGGACAAAGGTATAGAAGAGGGTATGAAATAAGGTGACGGTAGGAACAACAGCAGAAGCAAAAATGATCGCACCAGCACCAGCAAAGCAGGGGGTGATGAGAGCGATGATGCCACAGAAAACACAGGAGCAAAGGAGAGTAAGCAACAGAATGGGAGCAGCAGGCAAAGGTAAGTTGGGCAAGAGACAGAGGACAGTGGGAACATGATGGAATTCCAGCGCACTGGGAGTAGCATGGTGGGAAGACACAGAAAACACAACAGACTGAAGAGAGGGTCAGAAACTGCATATAACGTAGTATTAGTCAGCAATGGAACAAAGATGGCATCAGTCCTAAACAGATATGACTTTTTGGAAAAGGGAATGTTTGTATACTGGATATACTGCTGGAGAACCTGACTAGCTTAACTGCTTTTCCAAACAGAAAGCCTTGGCAAATCACTTATTGAAACAGAGATGGGTATGAATTTTTTTTTAAGAAATATGCAGAGGAATGTGGGAGGGAGGAACTAAGAGGGATAAGGTTTATGGCAGGAGAAAAGACAAGGGAACGAATGATTATAGTACAAATGTATATGGATTTACTAGTGGAAGAAGACATAGAAAGATGGTTGGAATTGCATGTTCAAAGAGTAATGAGTGTGAAGAAAGTGAAGGACAAATATGGTATTTGGACGGGGTCATGGAGGGCATTAATAGTGTTACAAGCAAATGAGTGTAGCCTAGCTGGAGTGATGTAATTCAGCTGGGGGCACATTGGAGTTTTATAATGTATCATGGGCAACCTAAACAGTGCAGCAAATGTGGAAAGGGGGGGCACTTGTCTGCACACTGCCCTTACACAATGTGCTTCAAGTATGAAGGGAAGAGGTACAGGGTAGCAGAGCACCAGGACCCACTAAAATACATTACCTGTGGAGGTGGGGAGGCTACTTGTACCATAGGTGTCCAATGGGCTTTGCAGACAAGGTCAGTTCCCACAAGGAACAGCGAGAATCAGAAG